GGCACTATGGGGGAGCGCTGCGCCAGCCCCTCCCCAGGCAAGCCGTACGAACTTTTCAACTCGTTTTCTAATCTAAATTCGACTAAACTCGATCCATTTTCTCAAATTCTCTTTAAAATCAGATACCCAAAATATATACACAAAACTCTAACTCCAACAACTCAAGGAATCAACATTTTAATCTCAAGAAACTCCTCAATCTCAACCCAAATTCAAGAACGAAAGCAATTCAAGAACACTCATCAAGAACATTCAAACTTCCAATCTTTTTAGAACGAATTCTAGCTGAATTAAACATGTTTGGCACGTGGGTGAACGAACCCAACGTTATGAAAGTCTCACACACCTCGTAGGATCAAATCCTTAATGAAATCCGCAATCAATTCCTTACGGAGACGACGAATCTTGATTTTCCTCTTCTCTTCTCTCTTGAGTTCTTCTCTCTAAAGCCCTAGCGTGAATTTTCAATTGTGCAAACTGAAACAATTCAGTTTTGACCCTAATTAATTCATTAAAAACGAATTAAATTAAGTGGGTATGGAAAAGACCAAAATACCCTTTAAAAATTCGGATTAGACTTTCCTTATTTGAACAACCCAACTTCAAATGGGCATATCTCACTCATACGAAATCAGAATCGTGCAAACTCGGTGGCGTTGGAAAGATAATTCCAAGATCTTTCCTATGGTATCTTGAAGCACACCTTAATCATCTTGAGCTAGGAGTTATGATCGTTTGAAATTTACCCAAAAACTCAACTTAGCTTAACTTAACAAATTTCCAGATTTTTCATTCTTTTCTAAAATGACTCTTTCCAATTCTAAATCTTTCTAGTTCTTTCAAATAGAGAGATGTTACAGATATGGAATCATGATATGATATCATAATATGAAATCATGAGATGAAATTGAAGTTTTGTTTGGACGTGCTATATGAAATTTTTGTGTTGTATATTTTCTCATAAACATAAGAATCTCATAAGTTGTAAAACTATTAAAATAGCCCCAATTGTTTATTCATTCTTACCAAATAAACAAAAAAATTATAAAATTGCATTACAAAGCTATTTGTTCTCACTTAAGTAATTGTTTCATCTAACTTTAATTGATCAAACTTTAAGTCAATAAAAATAATTAAACATGAATTGTAGTGTACTAGTTTTTAATATATTCCACTACATAGTACAAACAATCTCCTCACGTTGAACTTGCATTTGTCGATCATATAACCGAGAAGACAAACCAACATTGTTACTTTGTGTCATTTGTTGGTCAACATCATTCACAACTATATTTTCATGTTCATAGACCATACATATTTATCACTCCTTTGGTATTCTTACAAATAATTATGTAACATTGCACAAGTTATGACAATTTTTACTTGTGTGTCAATATCATAATAGTTCATGTCTTGTTTCACTTGTGCGCAATTACACATTTTTAGTGCATTAATTTCGTGCTAAAATTAAACATATTGGAAGTAGTGATTATCAAACATACATCACCAATTTTGTCATTTTTCATATTAAATTGCTTTAAACATTTTCATATGTAGCTAAAAGAGAAGATTTATTTTATTATGAAAAACAAAAAAATATTACTCCCTCCGTTCTTATTTATATTCACCAAATTAATTCCTACTTTATCATTTATATTCATCAAATTTAAAGTAATAATAAATTTTATGTTGGTGAGAATAATAATTTTTAAAAAGTAATGATGTGATTATAAATTTTATTTACATATGAAATAAATGGCTAGTAAATATAAATGTGGGTTGTTTTAACAAAATATAAACTTATGGATCAATTTTTGTATTTAAAAATCCTAAATCATGATATGGAATTTCCATATCATGGTTTTTGGAGAATATGGAATCACATCTCATGATATGAAATTATGAGATGGAATCAGTGTAAAATCGCATGTCCAAACGCTGATTCCATCTCACGATTTCATATCGTGATATGGTATCGCATGGCCAAACGCCTACTAAGTCTATAACCTTACTTAACAATGGATCCTACTTTAATTTAAAAATTAGAATACTAACAAAATTATGCTAATGAAAAATAAACATGGCATAAAAATTGATAATACGAAAAATTGCATGGAATCAGATAAAGTAAATGTTGAGAATGAGAAGGAAATAAAATATAAATAATATTAAATAAAAACAAATTTTTAGAATAATAATCAAAAAAAGAATTTAAAATAATAGAAATAAAAAATAAATTAAAACAAAAAAAATAAAAAGAAGAAATTCAAAAGGAATCAGCTTGTAATTACACCATGTTATTAGCAACAATTCACAACCCCTCTCTAAGAATTGAAGAGTGTAATTACCTCATACCAATTAGACTCAATTATCTGTTGACCAAGTAAATACATGGTCATCCAAGCATACCACATAGTGTAATTGCACCCAATTACACCAAATCCAATTTTCAGGGTGACTTTCCAAATTGGCTCTTAAGGTTTAAACTTTAAAGAAACCCAAAAATTCCGCAGATGAATGAAAAATGGGTATATTATGAAAATATGCATGAAAAACTGTGTGATATATAATTAAGGATTAATCACATTTGGGTAAGTAGATTTTTCTTTGAATTCTCCTTAGTGAACATACATTGAGTATACTTGGTCAGTTGGTTAGTTAGATATATTTGAACCGTTGAACTTTAATGTATACCTCGATAACATATGTTACACAATCAACCCTTAATTGTTCTTGGTTCTCATTATTGTGTTTTTTTTTTCAACCATGAACATCGCCTGATTTTATAAGTGCCTTGAGAATATTAATTGACCTTACACTAATTCTGCTTGAACCTTACATTAATTCTGCATGAGGCGGCTTACATCTCACACTCACATATATGATGTCTAAATGCATAATCCATAAATACATTGTTTGATCATGTCTAAACTTAAAAATTATTAAACATATCTTAATACTTAACCTTATTCCTGACCATTATCTTATCATAAGAATAGATTTAGTTTAGCGTTATTCCTAACTTTGTTTGATACCTTGAACGTACATTTTAGGATCTCCAGTTAGTTATGTAGAATTATCATTATGATGACTTCTTTTTTGTCATAATCTCATTATATTTGATAATTTATCAATCACCTCTCTAGTTAGGCCTTTTGGAAGTCTATCCAACACATTTACTTTTGACTTTCCAAATCAATAAGAAAACTGAATCTGACAAAAGTATTCTCCGTTCATTTTTACTTGTTCAGTATTTCAAAAATATATTTTTATTTTTACTTACTATTGTTAACCTATCAAGAAAGGATGGTTGACTTTTTCATTTTCTTTACCCTTAATATTAATTACTACTTATTTTCCAAATTATTTCTTAAAATGTAACAGTATACATCAATTAATATGAATATTATGAGGAAATATTTATACTAATTATTATTCTTAAGGGACATACAAAATTTAAAGTGTACAAGTAAGAGTCTGTTTGACATTACTGTTGGGAGGTCAAAAGTGCTTTTTTTGAGAAAAAACATTTGTTATTGAAAAATGAACCGGTTGACAAATCCTTAAAACTGTTTTTAAATGGAAGCAAAAACAATTTTTCTGTCGTTAGATTGAAGTTAAAAATTTATGTTTCTTATAAAATATCTCTTCCATACATGGGAGTAGCTACATAGTCTTTAGGGTGTCCAATTGGACACCCTTTGTCGGAAAATTATAACGTACATACAAGTAAATAATATACAAAGTGGTTAAATAACATATTCTGGACACCCTTGACACAACAAGGTGTTGTAGCCTAGTGGTTTAAGGTGTCTTGAAAGAGCCAAGTCTTTAAGTGTTTGTGAGTTCGAATCGAACCTTGCTAGCAACAGCTTTAAGCTTCTTCTTTTTTTCAAATTTTTCATGTATATTACGTACTTTTTTTCAAAAAAAATCATGTATATTACGTAAACATCCTTCGTGAAATTTCTACGCCACTACTTCATATATACATCCCTTATTAGTTAACTAACATATCTCATAAGTTTGGTTTAAGTTTTCATTAAAGAATAATATTTTTTTATATAATAATTTTTTTTTGCGTTTATATATAATTATTTTACATTTTATATATAATTTTACATAATTAGAATTAAAGGTAACAACAATATTTTTGCAGGACTAAAAAAAAAATTATGTAGAATGATTTTAAAGAAAACAATATTATTTTTCATATGTAGTGATTTAATTTGTGGAATGATTTTAAATTTATTTTGATCGATATTTTTAGTTATATTTAAATCATCATGTAAATATTATATTAATATTTGATTTATTTGTTTATCTTTGTATAATATTGATTGAAAATTTCAGTATATTCATTTTAATCTAATTAAAACTTTTGTAATAGATATTTAAGTAGTTCTCTCTATAAAATCTAACCAATCTTGCTTAAAATCATATATGAATACTTTTCATTATTTGAAAAATCAAAATATTACATAATGACAATTTTTAACCTTCACCTAATATTGTTGAGTGAATAGTAGACAAAAGGCAAACGACAAATTGCATTCCCTATCTTATACCGACACCCATACCCCATTCAATAAGGTAACAATCTAGTAAAAGATGAAACGTCTCTTTCCTAATTTCTGCTATATATCTACTTATCCATTTTTCCTTTTATTATTCTCCTTAATTATTTGTCAATTTTGACAAATCAAGAAAGAACAAAAAAAAAAAATTACCTATTATATCCTCAATTAATTACTTTGAAAAAGGTAGAACGTTTTGAAAATCTTAAATTTTTAATTTATACACTTCATAATTAATAGGGGTAAAATGGTCACTATGTCAATAATTATTTTCTTAATAAGTGTGTCAAATTCAAAGTAGATAAGTAATTAGGGACGGAGTATCAGATAGCCAGCAGTGTTTAGCGGACAAGATTGAAGAACATTTTGGTATTCTATTTCTATATATTTTTTTTTTTATATTTGCTAACAAATCAGATAAACAAATTGAAATAGGTAGGCTAATATCTTATCTTTCTCAATGTGTGGTCCAATTAATATCAGATCAGCCCATCATAAAAGGCAAAACGACCCCTACAAAAAACATCACACATCCATTCTTATAGCATCAAACATTTTCATCTTGTGATTGATTAATTAGGTAGTTCTAAAGATGAGCAAATTTGAGCTGGTATGTGTGCCTACCCCATCCATCGGTCACCTTGTTCCATTTTGCAAGTTTGCAGAGAAGTTGGTTGACAGAGATGAAAGGCTATATGTAACAATTCTCATTATAAGACCACCAACACCATGGGGTTCTACCATAGATGCCTTCATCAAACGAATCTCCTCTGCTCCCCAGGGCAATCGAATTAGATATATCACACTTGCTCAAATCGAACCGCCATCTTCAGAAGAACTAGCAAAGTCTGTTGAGAAATACATCTCTCTTTTGATAGCAAGCTATCGACCCATTGTTAAAGATGCAATTATCAGCAACAAGTCATGGCCTGATACTGATTCGAACCCGAAAATTATTGGACTAGTCATTGATATGTTTTGCACTTCAATGATTGATGTAGCAAATGAACTTGACATTCCTTCATATCTTTTCTTCACTTCTGGTGCTGCTTTTCTTGGTTTCTTGTTTTACTTGTCTGTTTGGGATGAACAATTTGGGAGAGAATTTAAGCCATCTGATGGCGATTTAAATATAGCAGCCTATGCTCATCCAGTACCCTCAAAATTCTTGCCTACTTTTTCATTTGTCAAGGAAGGTTACGACTCATTCCACAACCATGGTGTCAGGTTTAAAGAAACCAAAGGAATTCTCATCAACACAGTTGAAAAATTCGAAAGTCACGCTGTCAATAGCTTAGCATCTGATCCTGAATTACCTCCAGTTTACACAGTAGGATTTCTTTTTAACATTGAGGCACAAAATGATAAGGGGAATTCAAAGTCTGAAGATGAAGAAATCATGAAATGGCTAGACCAGCAGCCACCTTCCTCTGTTCTTTTTCTGTGCTTTGGAAGCGCGGGTATTTTTGAGCCACCACAGCTTATCCAGATGGCGATTGGACTTGAACGAAGTGGGGTTAGTTTTTTGTGGTCAATACGTCCGCTTGTGGATGCTGAAACTACAAAATTAGAGGAGATGTTGCCGGAAGGGTTCTTGGAGAGGACAAAAAATAGAGGAATAGTATGTGGATGGGCACCCCAAGTCGAAATCTTGGCTCACAAAGCCACTGGAGCATTTGTATCTCATTGTGGATGGAATTCGACCATAGAGAGTGTATGGCATGGAGTACCAATTGCGACATGGCCCCTTTATGCAGAACAACACATTAACGCGTATCAATTGGTGAGAGATCTTGAGGTGGCAGTGGAACTGACATTGAATTACAGGATGCACGATAGTGATCATAGCGAAATTGTGAAGGCAGAGGAGATGGAGAAAGCAATAAGACACATAATGGACAGGGAAAACCCCCTGAGGAAGAGAGTCAAGGACATGGGAGAGGTTTGCAGGAATGCATTGATGGAAGGTGGATCTTCTTTCATTTCTCTAGGACGATTCATTGAAACTATTCTTGATTCCTAGATTTTTTACATTCACTACTCTTTGTAGTAGCAGAGTCTTGTTTCACATCAGTATGCTACTGGATCAAATAAACGGTATTATTAAGGTATGGGATTACCTAGTTCATGATGCTTATGAGATGCATTCCGATTTTGAATTAGGTGATCATGTTGAAGAAGCTCCTGCTGATGAATCTTGAATTTTCTTTGAACAATTAGAAGCTGCTAGTCCGTCTTTATATGAAGGGAGTCTGTACTTCTGCTTTTATATTGTTATTAGATTGTTAAGTATCAAATTGGATTGGAATACTCCCCAAGGGGCAGTGGACTTTATGATTGACCTTATGCATGAATTAGTTGATCCAAATATAGAGATACCTGATAATTTTTATAAGGCAAAGAAGTTGGTGTTAAAGTTAGGACTATCGTCGATGAGAATTGATAGTTTTGGAAATGACTGCATGTTATACTATAAGGATTCCTTATGTTGATTTAAAATTTAGTAAGTTTTGTGTAAGAGCTTTCTTTTAAGCAGGCTTCTAGCAGAAACAAAGTTATTGTTGGGGTGATGCATTACTTATATCTTTAATCTTATAACAAGGTTAAATAGGTTATACAGATCAAATAGCTCTGCTACTTATTTGAGATGACACCATGAAAATAGAAGACCACCTGAGTTATGTGTCATCCATCAGATGGAGAGGCTTGGAAGCATAATAGAACATATCCACAACTCACAGTTTTACCATCATGAAACATTAGGTTGGATTCAACACTCCACATTCTGTTATTTGTTTGCACCATATTCTTGCTGGCCTATCTCATGTGCAAACAAATGAAGATGAGAACTTTTGTGCTAATATATAGAAGCACTTCGTCTAGCTCTTCACGAGTTGAGAAGAGAATCTCCCCTCGTGCCGCATCATTGCTTGCTCGGCTCAACTCGACTTTAGCAAATGACTTGATTGATAAAATTTATAGATAATTATTTTTTTCATTTGTCACTTATTCATTTTCTTTTAACTGAAATTAATTTGTGTGAAATTATTTAATTAAAATTTTGGAGATACTTTTTCCAACCGGAACAACCACCTCCTTTCTTGAACAGGTATTCACACTTGATAGACTGTAAAGTTTTTAGAGGCTTCTATGATGACCCATCACATTATCGCGCTACATAGGCTTCACATGGCATAAAGTTGTCTATGTAGAGGGTTTACATAGAAAAAATGCTAGTTTATAGTGGAAGGTTCTAGAGATATGTGGATAATTTCCCTGAAAGACCTTAGAATTTCATTGATTTACATGGAAGTTAATTTCCCAATAACTTTCTACCACTGAAGCAAGTGATGATAATGTAGAGGTCATGCCTGAGGATATTTTGTTGAGGACGTCTTGATTGGTAGAAAGTGGGTTACGAAGATTAATGCACAGATGGGTGCAATCAAGATATTTGACCAACGCTCAGGAAAGGTAGAAGGCACTTTAAGCATTCTTGAGGGACATACTCTTGAAGAAATCGGAAAACATACAAAATGATTTGGATGGGCGTAGCAGTCTGAGATAGAGACGAGGTAGACCATCACTACATGAGAGTGTTGACTCATGGAGGCGTTGAGCACTATCGATGCCATGAAGGCAAAGATAGAGGCACTCAAAGGACAGGTTGATGTTGGCCTGACGGAGATCGCTAGAAAGGTCGTCGTGATGAGGGAGGCCAAAATCGAGGTTCCCAAATCACCAATGTTCAAAGGGGTTCGTGATGCACAAGAAGTAAAGAACTTTCTTTGGCTCTAGGAGAATTATTTCCAATATGAAAATGTAAGGGTCGACGTTGCCAAGATCAACACCATAATATTGTTCTTTTCAGAGACTGACATGCCATGGTAGAGATGAAAATCGGTTGATGCTGAGAGAGGTTTGTGCACAATTAGCACGTGGGACCACTTTAAGCAAAAGTTCTTTCCAAATAGTGTCTTCTACGAGGCAAGATGTAAACTTCGAGATTTGAAGAAGACATGAAACATATGGGATTATAACAAGCATACGACATTTCTTGAATGGTTTCACCTTCCATCATTATGAAGTTTTCGTACTGAGCTGAGAGCATGTCCACGTTGGATTCTTTGAGTTGACTCATTACTTCGTGATCCATCCTCAAAGTTACCCAAATCTCTTTAGCACATTTACACACTAAGATTCAGTTATACTCATTGGATCCTATTTCGTAGACAAACAGATTTTTTGCTTTGTAGCTTTTTTCGATCTTCTTGCGATCGACTTCATAGTACTCCCTTCGTGTCTTTGGAACCAATCTAGTAATCTCTAATTTCTTGACTTCCTTCATGGTCACGTGAGGGTCCTTCCAATATGATGTCCCACAGACTATCCTTCCGTCGTTATGAAGTCATGCATATGAGTATTTCATCACCCATAGTTCTTTCCATTGAAGCTAGGGGGTGGGGTGGTTGACTGACCTTCTTCTAAATTCGGTGGAGCAGTCATGTAAACATGATCCTCTCTAGGTATTAATTGTATGAGAGTACTCCCTCTTATATCAATTATTGGCTTGTATGAGTCCCCCACGAGTCAAGAGATCAGGGCCTTCAATAAAATTAGTTAACGGAGATATTTAAGATAAGAACGGAAGGTAAAGAACACAATATGTTTACGTGGAAACCCCCTTGCTCGAAAATAAATATGACTTGTCTCACGGGATTTTTCAAGGCACCACCATCTCCAAGCAAAACGTAAATACAAACTCGAGTACTTACAATGGATTAAACTCTTAATTCTACACACCTTGTAATACCTCTATTACAAGACACAAAACGATAACTCTATTCCCCACTATAGCAACTAAATCTAGTTGATATAGACTTCAATAAGACACCACGATTAACTCTAGCCACACACTCAAATCTCAACAACGAGAGAATAAATGATGTACTTCCCTTTGTAACATAGGAGTAGATCCACATAAGAGCACAAGACACTAAACTTAAAATACAACTAAAGACACTGCAACACTCGATTAGGTCCCTAGTTCAGTATAAGCAAAGTTCTTCTTTGAAATGACTTGCTTTGTCAATCATCTTGATTGCCGAAACTAGGTTTTTATCTTGTGAACATGTTATTTTATAAGAGAGACAAAACCTAGAAGCATTCCATTGATCGAGGACGACTGTCATTTCAACGCCTACGTTGCAGTGCCCACCAACCACTACAGAAACTGCAACTTTACAGCTGCATACAGTTGACTTGTTCTGTCGGTCGGAAACTCTACGGACCAGGTTCCTCTGCGCTATAGTTTGTTAAATCATCAAAACTCAAAATACAATATTTTTTAAACTATAATTTACTTTAATTTATGGTATATATATTATACACACACACACCAACAAATACACTCACACCTTAGAAACAACTCTTATTTGATTCAGTCACATACTGAAATGAAACGAAACTCTGCTACCATAAAGAGTACATAATGTAAGAAATTTCGCATCTCAATTACAGGAATCAAGAATAGTTTCAGCGAACCGTCCTAGAGATATGAAAGAAGATCCACCCTCCGTCAACGCCTTCCTGCAGATCTCTCCCATGTCTTTGACTCTCTTCCTCAGGAGATTTTCGCTATCCATTATGCTTCTTATAACTTTCTCCATCTCCTCCGCCTTCACAATTTCGCGATGATCACTATCGTGCATCCTGTAATCCAATGTCAGTTCCACTGCCATCTCGAGATCTTTCACCAATTGAAACGCGTTAATGTGTTGTTCTGCATAAAGGGGCCATGTCACAATTGGTACTCCATGCCATAGACTCTCTATGGTCGAATTCCATCCACAATGAGATACGAATGCTCCAGTGGCTTTGTGAGCCAAAATATTGACTTGGGGTGCCCATCGACATACTATTCCTCTGTTTTTTGTCCTCTCCAAGAACCCTTCCGGCAATGTCTCCTCTAATTTTGTTGTTTCAGCATCCAAAGGCAGTCGTATTGACCACAAGAACCTAACCCCACTTCGTTCAAGTGCAATTGCCATCTCGATAAGCTGTGGTGGCTTTAAAATACCTGCGCTTCCAAAGCACAGAAAAAGAACAGAGGAAGGTGGTTGCTGGTCTAGCCATTTCATGATTTCTTCATCTTCAGACTTCGAATTCCCTTTACCATTTTGTGCCTCAAGGTCAAGAAGAAATCCTACTGTGTAAACTGGAGGTAATTCAGGATCAGATGCTAAGCTATTGACAGCGTAACTTTCGAATTCCTCCACTGTATTGATGAGAAATCCTTTGGTTTCTTTGAACCTGACCCCATGGTTGCGGAATGAGTCGTAACCTTCCTTGACAGAAGCAAAAGTAGGCAAGACTTTTGAGGGTACTGGATGAGCATAGGCTGCGATATTTAAATCGCCATCAGATCGATTAAATTCTCTCCCAAATCGGTCATGCCAAACGGACAGATAAACCAGGAAACCAAGAAAAGCAGCACCAGAAGTGAAGAAAAGATAGGAAGGAATGTCAAGTTCATTTGCTACATCAATCAATGAAGTGCAAAACATATCAATGACTAGTCCAATAATTTTCGGGTTCGAATCAGTACCAGGCCATGACTTGTTGCTGATAATTGCATCTTTAACAATGGGTCGATAACTTGCTATCAAAAGAGAGATGTAATTCTCAATAGACTTTGCTAGTTCTTCTGAAGATGGCGGTTCGATTTGAGCAAGTGTAATATATCTAATTCGACTGGCCCATACATCAAGGGAAGTTCCGCCAGAAGCAGAGGCGGAACATCGCTTGATGTAGGCATCTATGCTAGCATCCCATGGTGGTCTTATAATGAGAATTGTTACATATAGCCTTTCGTCTCTACTAACCAAATTCTCTGCAAACTTGCATATTGAAACAAGGTGACCAATGGATGGGACAGGCACAAATACCAGCTCTAATTTGCTCATCTTTTGAACTACCTTACTAATAAGAACATGAAAGTATGTTTAGTGATATAAGAATGGATTTGTGATGTTTTCTGGTGGTGGTTTAGTTGTGGTACACGTTATAAGATATTATAAGATATGATGCTAAATTTTTATTTATGTTTGGTATATTCTATTATATATATAACATATAAACGGTCAATCTCTTTCTTTCTCCACCAACTTTGCTGGCACAGAGTTGTTATCACGTTAACAAATGTCA